CCACAGACACTCTGTATGTTTTTCAAGATGATAGAAGAAAGCACCCCTAGATGTCAGTATAAAACCAAAATGAGCCGAGGTTTTGAGCCTATGGCTCCACTTTAACATACTCCCAGGGGCAACTGACCTTCGTCTGGTTCATTGGCTTTTCTGTTGTGCTGTAGTCAATACAACACAAAACTAGGTTTCTTGCAGACCATTAATCTTCAAATGCCGCCATAAATGCGTATGGTGGGTGCTAACTTTCGCCTAACGGCATCAGACACTGCGCTGAAACCCAGCACTTGTCAGCTGAACTGTCCAAAAAGACCAACAATATGTAAAAGAAGGACAGTCCAAGACGATACTACTCATGTTAATTCCGTATCATAAATTTGAGACGCGCTTGAACCTGCCGCGAACTGAAGGGCGCGACTCGGAAGGTTGCCAACGGACGGGATAGTTTAATACGTGACTAGAATGAAATTCAGACTGTAACGGACTCTACCTACCATGGTCACGTCTCTTTTATGTGAAATCCTAGCCCGTGCACGGTACCCGTAGCAGGGTATCAATTTAATGCGCATCATGCACTCAGGTTCTCAACTACTACCAACTAAAGACGTTTTTAAATCAAAACAGCCCAACAAACTAACTCCGGCCTACTCATAACTATAGACCACGTGTCCACCAAGTAACTTGCCAGGGCACGAAGGTGTCGTTCATATGCAAGTAATTTGTTTTTAAATTAAGAGACATTCAGTGACACTTCCCAAAAGTAACGCTTCCAGGTGGCATAACATTCGAGGCCGAATTAATTTCCATTCAGGGAGATCTTGTAAGCTGATCTACATTAACTAACCAGGTGGAACTTACAATGAATGCCTAGGGATGCCAATTTCTCCTAAGTAACTCCAGGTCAAATTTTCAAAGTCATTCAGGCCCGGCATCATATGACAAACGCGCGGAGGTCTGAAGCCGCAGCGGACCGGGAAAGATTAACTTTATCTAGATCGTCATAACCAAAACAGAGTTTACTAACGGCCCGCCAATCACGTAAACGACGTGGCATAATTCACGGGCAGTTAAACACTACATCGAACAAAATATTTATTCAGCAACAGACAGAGAGTTACGCACAGGTGTGGTACATATCTGCTCAGGATATCAGACTTCCGGGAAATTTTGGAACCAGATAAGTGAACTTGTTAGCCTAACTGGCAGTGTTCGGTTTAGTAGCCTCTGTTGCTGGCCATGCGGTAGATAAGAGTAAGTCAGGCGTTAATGAGAATGTTGATGGAAGCGAGCAGGCAGGTTCCAGAAGAGAACATGCAATCGCTGGAAAAGACTATTAATCGCCTGACATTCCGTGTTCACACTAGCACCCACCATCACAATCACAGACAAGGGTGATTAAGGCACAAGATGCACAGTCCATAGTGGCCACGCGACAGGGTGATAAATGCACATGGGACGAAGTATTTATAGGATGCAGTTGCCTTGCGATCACCTCCGATGGTCGTAATTGATGAGAAAATTGCCTGCTCGTCCATATCCGCAATTCCGTCGCCTGTGTTGATTAGTGGCGCGATGAGGCAGCAATTTAGCACGCTGGCACTGCCAATGGAAGTGACATTCACTTGCGCCCCCCCCCCTCCCCACCCCAGGGTGGCAAGTTACATTGCCCAAGAGAAAAATGGGTCGTTAATCAGGAGGGGAAATCACTGCGCTTGTTACTCTACTGCGGGCCGGAGAAGCGGCTCGCCGCTCACGCAGT